TGTGCCTAACTTGTTTACGGCCCCATTCCCGGGGCTCGGGGGAGACAGCGCCCGGTGCTTGCGGCACAAAGGAACGGCGGGAAGGCCCGGGGTGTGTGTGGCGTCAGGAGGGCTCGCCCCCAGGCCACCTTTCCCCCTTTCGATGGGCCGGACAACGCCCAGGCGCGGGACGGAGGGAGGCAGTGGGATTTGTTTTGGCTGCTAGGGGAGGCAGGACTGGGGATTAGTGAAGAGAAAGACTGGGGGCCACGACGCACCCAGGGGCTGCGCAACGGCGGCGGGGTGAGCAGCACGCACCCCGCAATCCCGGCACGCGGTGCGGCGGCTCGCCCTTCCCCCACCGGCCAACCGGGGCCCCGGCTTCGCAACAAAGCCCGGCTGCAGAGCGGTGGGGCCCCACGCCGCCCGTCACAGCGGATGGCAACGACGCCTTTCCCTTACCGGCCTCCGCTGCCTGGTGCCCGAGAGCACAGCCCTCTTCGGACGGTCCGCGGTTCCGGCCTCTCTCGGAGAAACCCGCTGAACGGACCGCAACTCGCACCGAGGCGCCGGCGAAATGGCTGCGGCGGCGACGACGGGGGGCGTGGTCAACGCGCTTACGCAGGCGCAGAAAGCGAGCTCGGCGCCGCGCGGAAGAGGCGGAGCCTGAACATCCGGTCGCCTAGGAGATCCGAGGCGCCTCGAAGGTCGCTTCCGGTAGCGGCCGCTTTTGAACGTTTTGGGGAGTCGGGGTCCTGTACCCACTAACTGAGCAAACAATACAGTTTGAGAAAATAAGGACAGATCTGAAAGCTTCTAGACACAGCAAGTACAATACCTTACAACAAGAGAAAAGTTAAGTCCTTTTTAAAAGTGGAATTGATAGTGGTAGTGTTAATGGCTTAATATTTAAGACTGATGACTTTTAGTGTGACGAATGTCACAAATGGAGTGTACAATCTGGATTCCAACAGAAATGATTGTCTAGATTTTGAGGATGGAGAATAAAACATATCTGATTCCTTTAAAATTATTGGTATTCATTGAAATGCCAATTTCTTTTAGAATTCTTTTTTTATGGCTTGCTGTGCATGTTATTTCGCCAACTCTTAGTTAAAAGGTTTAGCAGTGATACCATGTTCTCAGTTGTATAAAGAACATACACTGAATTGCTTGAATAGCTACAAAGACTAATAATAATAATAACTGACACTTCATTGTGCTTATATATCCGGCATGATTCTATTCATTCTTTTTTATAAGCAAGCATGACAATGGAGGTCATTCACGTATATTACTTTTCTGTATCCACTGTACCAGTTTCTATTGAAACATTTATCTACAAGCCCTGTGACTTCCTGTTCAGAAATTTACTCAAGTTTATTGGACTTTGTAACTTGCCTTGTTCTACTTTTAGAGTTATCTTTGTTTTCTCTGCCTTTATTTCATGGAAATTACTTTAACATTAGTTTACACTTTGGCTTGCTGCTTACTTTTGTGGTCATTGAAACACCATATTCACAGGGGCTGTTATGGTTCCCGTATTAAGGAGTGGGGCTTTATTTCCCCATGCAGGTGTATATTTGAGCATTTTGCTGCCTGCTTTATATCAGCTTTTGTTGCTACTCATACATTTCTATAGGGATATAGGATGTTTTACTTTTTCTCAGGGGAGGAAGGGGAAGTTTGTGGTGGCCAGAGCACAACTCTTTGGTTCTTTGAAACTTGGAGCTCTAATTAAAGTTCTCATTTAGCAACATGTGGAGACCTGAATTCTTTTTGGAAGGCCTGTCCTTTGTTATGTGAAAACCACCCTAATGGGCCTTTCCATTATAGGAACTGAAGCAAGTTCTCACCTAACCCAATCTTTTGGGGAAAAAACTGTGACATCACAATTAATCTGAAAGTGGGTGTTCTAGAGTCATGCTGAGCAGCCAAGGAAGTTGGTGTGTTAATAGCTGTGTATTTGTTAAGTCATGTTGTAATTTGGCATTCAAGGTAGCTCCGCGTTTTCCTAGATTCCAAATGAATATTTATTGAAATGAAAGTACATTACAAGTGGTTGAAGATGAGAAAACTTGAAGAGAGGATTGAGAACCAGAAATCAAGATAATGGGAGCTCCGAAAGCAAATGGAATTAATTACAATTTCCCTCTTGATTCCATTTCATCCATAGAAGCAGAAATTTCTCCATGAAAATTTTGTGCAATACTGAATGACTCAGGGCTCATGGATCCTTTTGGAGTTTTTGTCCCTTCACAAAAATAAAACTTTTTAAAGATCATAATAGGTACTTAAATACTTGTTGATTTGATGGGAGATTTCATTTGCTGGGAAAGAATTTAGTTCAAGCTCGTCTATAAAGTCCTTGAGAAATGAATGCACGATTCAAGGTGGATTACATCCCAATGTACACACCCTGACTTGATAGAGTGGCATTAGCTAGAGGTTTCCAAGTTTCCATTCTTTAAATCCGTAAAAGAAAGGAAACCCAGACTCTTCAGTTTAGCTTCTGCATTATCAATAAACTCCTTGGAGGCTCTCTGCAGTGGGAGCCGGGGTGGGCCCATTGGAATCCCAGACACCAGAGTCATGATGGCTTTGGTCTGTGACACTCCAAAACCTATACAGAAAAAAATAAAGGAGGCAATGTGACTGGGACTGTCCACTCCACCACAAACACCACAAGAAGAGATCACATTCTTACAGTGACTACTACGACAGCATAAGGTGAGCTAAAAGATGGGAACGTTTCTAGTCAATGTGGCAGACTGAGAAGACAGGGAATCCCTCTTCCTGCTTCAAATACATAGGAATGCTAGGGCGGGGGGGGGGGGATGTTTTAAACAAATTGACAAGCTATAAAATAAAATGAAGTAAGACTCAAAGTTAACCTCAAAAGCAAAAAGGAGGCACCAAAGTTATCAGGGATAAAGAGGTCAGAGTAGTGAAGAGCTGAAGTCGAATGGTCCATGAGAATAATCTGATTCAGGGGTATAGTGTGGTTGATCAAATGATATAGGACTTCATCACTAGGACAGAATTTAGTTCAAGCATGTCTAAGAAGTCCCTGAGAGATGCACTATTTAAGGTAGTTTGTGACTCAATGTTGGTGTTCTGGGCTGGTGTTATAAAGCTGGGGCAGGAAAGCAAGAGGAAGCTTTGGGTCTGTGCATAGCAAAGAGCTGGACTCAAATTCTCTGTGTAAAAGTGGTAGCCAGCCTTCTATGAAAAGCAAGAGAAAAAAACCTGACCCACTGACTTAGGGATGGAGGCACAGCTCTTGACTTCTGCCTGGGCTGTGGATGGAAAATGATCACATGAAAGAAGCCCCAAGCCCGTGCCATACATGAATGATAGATCCATATTTGCATTATGCATCTGATGTAGGAACCAGACTAAGAAATAACCTAAAGACTGGTTAGAACTGGTGAAATTACGTGTCCTAGCAGAGGCTTGATGGGACACTTCACAACCTGGAGCTCAGTGGGTTGCCCAGAAAACAAGAGTCTCTGAAGATGCATTCAGTTAAAAATGACAGAGAACATGAGGGAAAAGAAGCTGCGTGAAAGCCAGCAAATGCACAATTAGCAAATTTCACATCCTGCGAACTGATACAGAATTCTGAAAGAGACTTCACAGGGGTAAAAGAAGTAGAAGCCATGGGCTAAGAAAGGGGCATAGAAATAAAGAATAGGAAGACTTGAAAACAACAACAGCCTAAAAGAAATACTGGAAATGAAAAATATATAATCAGTGAAACTAAACATAGCTAAAGATAGAATTAGTGTTTTTGAAGGTACGTCTCAGGAAATAACCCAGAATAGAGAAAAAGATATTTGTTTTCTTAACCTGCTATTGCTTTTGGATCCATGGTACAATAGAAGAAGTAACTTCCTTTTGCTAAATTAACTTAGTTAGAGTAACAATTTATCATTGGGAAGGAAAATGCTAGAATGACTAAATAAATAGCATATAGTTTGATGAGTGCAAAATGACCCATGTTTATTATGAATGGTGGAATAGGGAGCTACCTTCATGATAGGACTACATGTTTATTAAGGTAAGTTTCTCTTTGACTAAACCATGATAACTCAACTCCAACTGCCAAGAAAGTCTGAAATGAGCTTTTTAAGATGTGTTCTTTGAGAACATAATAACTATCTTCAAAAAAAAAAGCACAATAAAAGCTATCTTCAAGAGTCCCCTTTTAAAATGCAAATATTCTGGCAAAGTTAATCCTTCAAGCTAATATCTTAGAGCTATGTTTTGTAAAACTGTTACAGTATCACTGCTGATATGCAAAACAATCATATATACAGGTAAACTTTTAGTTCTTTTAAAAAGTCAATAGTTCAATATCTACTTCAATGCACTTTAGGAACATATAACTATCATAGGGCTGGGCTGTCCTTTTATATTTCCCCTTTCACAGTCCTTTTTCTCCCACCTTTGAAAAAACAAAGACATACCTCCCACATCACTTCCCTGGGACATCTCTGGGAAGCAAATAAAGGAGCAAATCAAAATGTTGGTATTGGCATCGATAAAAAAAGAGATTCCTCTAACTAATGGATAACAAGTCCTCTATAAAAATCAGAGGTTTTCAGTTTCTGCTTCCAACACTGCTTTCAGTGTTGCTGTTGTCAGCTGACGGAATTGAGTGACAGTGTGATAAAATTTCTTCCATTCTTATCTAGTCATTTACATGAACAGGGTTTCAGAGCACCAAACCCACAATTTTGTAAAATGTATTGCTTAGGGCAAGGGAATAACAATAGGTCCTTAATAGTACTGTTGGCACACAAATATGACAAAAATGAAAGTGGTAAAGCAAATGGGAAACACTGTCCTTGAAGGATTAAGAGAGCTAGCTGAAAACCCGGTGAGAATGAGGGAAATAACACATTCTAGGTGCTTCGGGGTTGCTAGGGTGAGTCAGAAAGGCTCTGAAAGGGAGGTGCAGGAGGTTTGCCAAAGCCGAAACCGGTTTGGCTCAGTGGATAGAGCGTCGGCCTGTGGACTGAAGGGTCCCAGGTTCGATTCCGGCCAAGGGCATGTACCTGGGTTGCGGGCACATCCCCAGTAGGAGATGTGCAGGAGGCAGCTGATTGATGTTTCTCTCTCATCGATGTTTCTAACTCTCTATCTCTCTCCCTTCCTCGCTGTAAAAAATCAATAAAATATATTTTAAAAAAAAAAAGAATAAGCCTAAACTGCCCTGGCTGGCTTGGTTTAGTGGATGGAGCGTCGGCCTGCGGACTGAAGGGTCCCAGGTTCGATTCCGGCCAAGGGCATGTGCCTGGGTTGCGGCTCGATCCCCAGTGGGGGGTGTGCAGGAGGCAGCCAATCAATGATTCTCTCTCATCATTGATGTTTCTATCTCTCTCTCCTTCTCTCTTAAAAAAAAAAAAAAGAATACACCTAAAACTGTTCTTTTTATAACAAAAAAATGTTTATTGACTTTTTTACAGAGAGGGAGGGAGAGGGATAGAGAGTAAGAAACATCGATGAGAGAGAAACATCGATCAGCTGCCTCCTGCACACTCCCCACTGGGGATGTGCCCGCAACCAAGGTACATGCCCTTGACCAGAATTGAACCTGGGACCCTTCAGTCCACAGGCCGACACTCTATCCACTGAGCCAAACCGGTCAGGGCAGCCTAAACTTTTCTTGGACTTGACCTAGGTTCTCAGGAAGGGCCAGTCTCTTGCAGAAGTGGAGTGAATGGTGGCATTTGCCATGTATCATAGGATAAGATGTAGGAGACTCTGCAAAGGTTTCTTTACTCAAATTCACTGTATTTCCCTCAGATTCTACATTGTCATATTATCCAATCCTCCATCCATTTAAGCTTAGTTGTGTTTATAAACTCTTTTTAAGTTGCAGATACTCTTGGGAGAGCTGTCAGTCATTCACAATTTAGTACGATCTATATTCAGACTGCCTTCCTCTAAGCACTTAGGCTGAAGTCAGTGACAGTGTGGTAGTGGAATTTTAATGAGCACAGGCAAGTAAAGGGAGGGAGTGCTGAAGGTGCAGGGGAGAAGGAATAGAAAATGGTGTGTGTGTGTGTGTGTGTGTGTGTGTGTGTGTGTAGGTGTAGAGCAGGGAAGTGAACAAAGTGCTAAAGTGGAGGAGAAAGGTTTGAGGAAGATGCCCAAGCCTTCCAACTAGGTTGACTTCACTATTTTATCAGGTTGGCCCTGAAGGTTAGTATTAGCATTAAAAGGTATTTTTGTTGAACCCTCAAGAGAATGTGATCAAAATGCATCATATCACTTTCTCTGAAATCCTCAGAGAAAGCCCATTTCCTTTAGAGTCTCCAGTAGCAGACAAGAAGGAAACTTACCTAGTTTGATCACAAAGTTGATAAATCTCTGAATACAAAACTGAAAAGGAAAAAAAAAATCTATAGTCAGCATTACTGAACTGTGGAAACAATTTAAAGAACCTAGAGGTCAAATTACAGAAACCCCAAACCAAAAAGTCCAGACACCTTAGTTTTCTGAAGGTCAGAGTGGAGAAAAACAGCCAAGGACGGCTGAGATCCATTCAGGATATGGTAGGATCTTTTCATACATTTAAGCTTTGTAAAATGGGCCCGGGCAGATAGGAAGCTCCAATGATAGAATTGTGCAATAGAGAGTTAAAGGTGAGAAGACAGCCTTTTAACCCATCAAGCTCACATAGGTAAACTTATCAGAGAGAGCAGTTGTTTCCAAACTGGGGTACATTAACCTCTGGGGTATATCTTTCCAAGATACCTAAGGGGCAATGGACCAAGGCAAAGATTTACGGAAATCAATTTCTAGATCCTCAACTTCTCTAAGTGTTAATTTCTAAAATGGGTCAGAATAAGAATTCACACACAGTGGAGGTGTGGGCTGTCCTTTTATATTTTCCCTTTCACAGTCCTTTTTCTCCCACCTTTCAAAAAACAAAGACCTACCTCCCACATCACTTCCCTGGGACTCCTCTGGGAAGCAAATAAAGGAGCAAATCAAAATGTTGGTATTGGCATCAATAAAGAAAGAGATTCCTCTAACTAATGGATAACAAGTCCTCTATAAAAATCAGAGGTTTTCAGTTTCTGCTTCCAACACTGCTTTCAGTGTTGCTGTTGTCAGCTGACGGAATTGAGTGGCACTGTGATAAAATTTCTTTCATTCTTATCTAGTCATTTACACGAACAGGGTTTCAGAGCACTTATTCTCTAAAAATAAAAAACAGGAATAATATTGGTGCTGAACTTTAACTCGTCTTAGTAGAAAGTAAGGTTCATCCAGGATTTCATGAACTAATTCATAAAAAAAAGACTCCCATCCATCTCACTAAGAGATGCATTTTCAGTAGCATTTTACTTTTATGCTATTTCCATCAATTGTATACTGTAATAAAAATTCAGTGCAGAATATAATTTTGATATCCAGAGCCTCCCCCTCACACTGAACTATAGCACACCACATTCTCAAGTCTGCATGTTGCTGCTTTTTTCACTTAACGTACCATGGAGATCTTTCCAGATCTGTACATATAAAACGATCTCATCCTTTGAAAGTGTATTTTGATTGTGTAACTCAAACACAATGTGTTCTCTCCCTTCCTCTCTGTAAAAAATCAATAAAATATATTAAAAAAAAAACAATGTGTTTAACTATTTCCTTATAGATGGGTATTTGGGCAGTTTCCACTTTTTTGCAGTTATACATAATACTGGAAGGAATATCTTTGTACACATGTCATTTCACTGAAGTAAATATAACAAATGGAATTTAAGTTCATGAGAATGGCTAAGGTTAGCCCTAATTTGTTACTTCCTGCCTCTTCACTAGCCTGCAAACTCCTTTAGGGCAGAGACGAGCGTTATTGAAATTAAGAACTGGACTTGGCCCTTGGCATTCGTGTAGATGAGTAAGTGAGACCCACTTGCCTTCCATAAGGAGAAACAGAGAATGCGGTAAACTGATTTCCTTGCCAATACTGTTTGGAGTAGGCTGGTTTATTTGAGTGGGACTGAAGGGGGGGTGGGGTGGGTAAAAAGAGATAGAAACTGGATCAGCCAGAAAAAAGGAACCGCTAAGGGTCCATATCTCAGCTGGTTCAGAGCTTACTCCATCCTATGCTTTCTCTTTCAGCTCGGAAAAGGTTGGAATGTTCAGAAGTAACTTATTCCGGGAAACGGAGGAAAAAGAAAACCATGAATGCAAAGGGATAGCAGTGTCCACGTAATTCAGACTTACTGAGATTTAAATCAAAGCCTTGCCAATGTTTAATTTAGTTGCATACCTTCCTAAGTCCCTACCCTGTTCCTGCTCTCAACTTCACCTGGTCTGGGGCTAAACAAAGGTAAATATTTAAATGAGCTATTTAAACTTGAAGTAGGAAGTAGACTTAGGTTGGCTCCGTGCTCAGGACAGACCACCTGCTCTGATCTTGCTTATGCCTTTCATTCCCACTCAGTCTTTTGGGATAGTCCTCTGGGTCACTTTCATGATCCTGAAAATCCCTGTGCCTCGGCCTCCAAAAGTCTTTCTCTTGTGCCTCCTCTCTTTCTTTCCAGCTCATTCCATTTACCTGAAGTACACATACTACCCAGCTGCTGAGACCGGTTCCACCCAGCAAGGCTCTGTGTTCCCCGGACAGGTCGGCCGTCCTTTGTGTGACATTCATGGCAGCCACATGTCCCCTGGGCTCCTCCCCATCACACAGGAGCTCCTGCTGCTTTCCTTTCCCTGCTTCAAAGCCAGTGGCTCCTGTTTCCTGCCTGGTGAATGTTTTCCATCCTCAGCACATTTCCAAGCTGAAGAGGACTGACCTGCTCTGACTTTGAATTAAGTCTCCCCATTTAAGGTCACCAGCTTCACAGCTTCTGATGACTTCAGCTGTGACGTCCTCAAGGGGATGGCATGTGGTCCTTTCCCCAGAAATCTATTGCTATTCTTTTACAGCCACAAAAATATCTCGAACATAGAGTAAAAATAAGGTCATTTCTAGGAGGAACAGAGAGGAGTCGTTCCTGCATGGGGCCTGTCCTGATTAGACAGGCGGGGAGCATGAACAATGGGGACAGGTTTGATTTTCATCAAGAAAAAAGTAAGGAACAGAAGGAAAGGAAAGCGAGAGGCAGGGAGGCAATTTTAACGAGGGCAGGTATGGCAGGATGAGAGGGACTAGGAATTCTCCAGTGGGAAAGAACAAAGGCTGTGGTTCAGGAGAAGGGAAGAAATAGTTAACCTGATCATTCAGGGCTGAAGAGAAGTCCTTCCGCTCATAAGCCTCCAACATCTGGTTTGTCTTTTTCCCCAGGTAGTTATAGGTACTGAAAGAAAACAGCACACACTGTAGAACCAATAACCCCGCGGGAAAGGTCCAGATCTTCAAACCCCACTGCTGCTTGCAAGGCACAAGTACACTGAGCTTCCAGAAAGTCTATTTTTAGGCCCTAACCTATCAGCAGGTCAGGTGTCTTCAGTTCTAAGTTTTCCAGCAGCACTAAGCAGTGCCAAGAGGAGGCAGAGAACACCCAAAACGAATGAAGAAAATGAAGGAAAGTGGAAAAGGATAAAATTAGAAAAAAGAAAGAAAGATGGAGGTGTGCTTAGTAAGGAACCACTGAGGCTCAGGGCACACACAGAGGCACAGCCAGATAAGAGCTGTAGGTAAAATGTGAGTCCTAAAAGCCTTCTGCTGGGGAAGTGGATGAAGGAGGCACTACAGGAAAAGGGGCAAATCCCAACGGATTACCTAAATCCCTTGACAACTTATATATTAACCTAGAGACCAGTTTCTAGAAAATAATAATGACTAATAAAAGAGAGGCCACAGATTAAGTGCCTATGATATTTTAGGTGCTTGACATAAGTCATTACTCGTTCTCTCTCAGCCCTGCAAGGTAGGCCTGGTTTCTATTTCTCGGTGATGAAACTATGGCTCAAGAAGCGCTACAGAGTTATCACAAAGTTTCCATCACTTCAGGCTGCCCTGTTATATAATCCAACAACAACACAAGTTATTTGATCTGATAAAATGGTCTTGTGGACTTAGAAACAAACAAACAGCTCTAACTAGCAATAAAGACAAATCACTAACATCTATAACCAGAAAGATAGGTTATAAAAATTTATAACTAGAATGTTTCCCCATTTGTTAACAAAGTCTTGTATAGTCAGTCAGTATCAGGAAACGTGCTTATCTTGATGTACCAAGAATAGAATGTCTTTCATGTGTGTAGACACTAGAGTCAACATCAAGGAATTCCAAGAACTTGAAGTTCCTATTATCGTCTGGTAATAAAGTGCAAAAAATAAAATATCATAGCCGGGAAAAGTCACTTGTAGGTATGAAACACTCCTAAGTCCCAATATGTACATGGATGTGTGAGGAGGTTCAGAATAGTACATTCATATCCCAGGGGTCACAGGTGTGTCCTCAGAGAGGAACGTGATTCTAATGAAGACGACGTGAAGTCTAACCAAATGTACTCTACTTATAAATTATGTTGACCGAATTAAAATGTCTAATATCAAGGCCAAAAAACAAGAGTCAAAACAGTCACATTTTCCAGGGGGAAAGCCATTCCACAGTCAGCAGATGCAGGCATTCAGCTTTCCTTGGTAGAAATGGCCCTACGGTGATGATGGAGGATACAGGCCATCCTGGCTTGTTCACAAGCCATTAAGACTGTCTAACTCAATTACTCTTCGCCAAAGCCATGCTCACCAAGACTCGTTGTGAATATTACTTTGCTCCCCCTGTACTTTTCCTGCAGGGAGGAAAGGCACTTACAGTTAGTGCAAATATTTCAATCCATCTGCTGGCAGACACACTTCTAATGAATTAGTTTTAATATGTGCAGTTAACTGATCGTATTGCCGGCCTTCCTTGAGCAGGCATGGGGCCACACGATTCTACTTTCCTGCAGCAGCTTAGCTAGGGCCTTGGGCGGACACTTGACTATCTAGTGATATCCTGAGATGCCATATTTGGGCAGCCACGACTGACCACGTGTGTGTGGAGGAAGCACAGAAAACCCATTTGGAGAGAAAGGGAGGGGGAAAGAAGGAGTTTTGCAGAGAGATGCAGAGGGGAGCGTCTCCAGAGGACTGCAGATGGAGAATGAGCTGCCTTGGCTGTTGAGAGCTTTGTAGTTCTGGGTGCTCATGTTCTTAGGCTTGGCTATCCTTTCTCCTCTTGAGTTTCATATAATTTCCTAGTATTTTATAATAACAACTTAGTTCACATAAGATAGTCGAATGGGTTTCTGTTATTTGTAACCAAATAATTTCTGACCAAGAAATTCTGTGCATTGCTCTCAGCTCCTGTGCCTGACCTCTCACTGCAACAGGGGCTTCTAATAACGATGGAGTTGCTCGGTCCTACTTAATTCCCTCTCACTGAAAGATGGTGGGAAGAAAGGCAACTTCCATAGAAAAGGTGTACATGCAAGAAGTATTACTACTTAGGAGATGAATGCCTCTGTGGGGGGACTTGACATTTATACATTTGTACGTGTGTAACCACTAGGGGAAATCAGTCCTGCTTACCTGCCCACTGCTCCCGTTGCTCCCATCACCAGAGCACTCAGCAGTTGCTAATCAGAAACAGACAAAGAGTATTTATTTTTATGAAAAAGAGAAGATGCTCCTGTACAAGCAGCTCCATAAATTGTTTTGGAGGGAAACTAACCTGTGAGAAATGCCAAAGGGTGCCTTACCTCATCCACCCCGAAAAGGAAAGCAAACTGTCGCTGGCGATTCTGATCAACACACTGTCCGAAGTCTAGGAGATCTGTGTCGCTAAATTTCAGCCCTTGGAAGGTGGGGATCTTCTCCTGAATCCCATCCAGCAGCTCCTCAGCACGAACTGCTCAAAACAATGAATGCCTCATGGATCTTCACACCTCCAGTAAATATCAAATAACATCCCATGAAGCCCTTCCCATCTGCATTGAGTTTCCAGGAGCTTTGCTCAGCCTTAATTGACCACAGGAGGGCCACTTGCCCTCGCCTAGCAGGTCCTATGTATTTGTCAAATTATAGCTCCAAGTCTCCCATTCCTTGAAGACTATTAATGGATATTTGTAGAGCACAACTTCTATTTTTATGTTTAAGAAAGAAAGAAATGGAATTCAAAAAATAATCTAAAACATTTCATTTAATTGTAACAGTCTTCTTACTGGACAAGTATAGTAACAATCAAAGAAAGCTAGAAGCAAGAAAAGGTCAGAGTACCTTCCTATGTGCCAGGCACTGAGAATACAGTAGGACACAAGGTAGACAGTCCTGTCCTAGTGGGGCTTCCAGGCTGTGTCTTCCTGTATAAGAAGGAGGGGTGTGTGTGATAGACACAAGGTGTCTGCTGGGAGTGCCCAGGGGTTAACTCCTCTCTCATAACTTCCATTATCGGGTGGTGTCAATGATTGAAAAGGGTTGACTTCATTTTTTATAAGAGTGATTTATTTTGGAGCAATTGGAACTGTCTAGTCAACAGCGTTATGCTTTTATGACATGGGGTGGGTGGGAAGGAGTGGGGTCCTTAGTGCAATAGGGTAAGATGTGAGGGGGGGAGAGAGCAACATGGAAAGAAGCAGCACTTACTCTTTACCCCCGTTAAGGCAGGGATGTGATAGTAATAGAATGGCAGCGCCGGGGCAGCAGCAGCCACCTCCTTTAGGAAAGCAGTGAGGTCATCTGAAAGAAAGCAGGAAGAGTCAGGATGTGAACATGTGTAAAACACCGGCTTTCCCTGGTAGATGAACCAGCTCACGAAATGCAGCCATCCTTTTCGGAAGCCGGAAATTCTTGGCCCCTCTTACCAACCCTGTGATTGCTTACTGCAGTGTCTGCAAATCACTTCATTGGAAGTTGTACTTTCCTTTCTGTAGAAAGGCCAAAATAAGATGCTCACTTTCCTACTATTGTAAAGTACTGTTAAAATACTGGTATGGCCCAGCCAGTGTAGCTCAGTGGTGGAGCGTCTACCTATGACCTGGGAGATCATGGTTGGATTCCAGGTCAGGGCACATGCCCGGGTTGTGTGCTTGATTCCAATAGGGGGTGTGTGCAGGTAGCAGCCAATCAATGACTCTCTCTCATCATTGATGTATCTATCTTTCTCTCCTTCTCCCTTCCTCTCTGTAATAAAAATGTATTTTTTTAAAAACAAAACAGTGGTGTGAACCTTCCCACCTATTAAGAGAAGCTCATGAAATACTCTTACAAAAATGAGAATTCCATCCGGTAGGACTCTTCTCCTCTTACCCTAGAGGGGCTAAATGTGGTCAGTGAACAACAAAGACTTTGCATTAGGATCAGAATGAGAAAGTTGTAACTGAGGAAATTCTCCAACAAAAGGATAAGCAACATCTGTTCAAGGGAGTTATGAGAGTAGTTGCACATCCCACAATAATTCAACCAGAGTTTGGTACTTTTTCCTTTGGGGGAGAAATCCAGGTATATCCGAAGAGAGCTCACTCTAGTTTACTTAGGAACTGTTACTTTACATCATCCAAGGTGAGCTTCAACTGCAATATTGCTGCAGATAATAAATAAATCCATCAGAATTGCTTTATACCACTGGAGAATGGGAGAGAATCTTACATTCTCCACCTGAATACTGTAATGATATATTATCTATGATGAATATTTCAGACAGAAGTGTTATGTGTAATTTGTTCTTTTTCTCTTGTCTCTTTTGAGAAAAGTATTCATGTAAAAAAATTTAAAGCCATGTGAAAAAAAAACTTTACAAATTGTTCACTTTAAATTCCCAAAATAGCAGTATTTAAATTACTTTATATTAACAACATTAATAGGTGATATTTCATGATAATTTCAACCCATTATACATTTAGTATGGATTTATTTAATCATGCATACAAATAACATCTTGTCTGTTTCTAATCCTTTTAAAATTTTATTTCTTTTTTTTTTCTGATCAAAAGGATTACAAAGACTCAGGGTACTTGGAGACCACAAATGGTTTTTAACTGAGAGTGTAGAAGAGGAAAAAACAATACCTTGATATTTTGGAAGACACTAGATGTGTCTGTGAAATTTCAAATTTATCACTCTCTCAACCTTGTATAGAACATGTAGTCTCAAAATGCTCAGTACTCATATTCCTTTTTTTTGAGAATAATGGTCCCAAACTTTGCCATGTAACTCTGACATTCTGCACAACTCATACAACAAGGAGTGGACACCTGATCTAAACACAGGCACCTATAGGTTAACCTGAGCTTGGTGGATGACCCAATCAGATTACTTGGCAAAAGAGCTGAAATCCTTTAATGAAGTCTTTTCTTTATGATCCAGGGAGGCCAACTATTCTGGAGAACTGCTGTACCATTACAGTGTCATGCATCTAGTCTATAAAACTTTACTTTCATGAGTTAAATATAACCATTGTGAATGAAGGCAAAAAGAAGTAGACCACATGAGGTGCTGTGCATTTAGACCTAATTACCTTTGTTCTGTGGCTTGAGAAAGAAAGGTGCAATAACAGCGATGCCATCGGCCCCGATTTCTGCTGCATGTTTGGCCTTTAAGAGAAGAAAGAAGACCCTTATGGATCTGGTCACAATTCTAATGTGAATAGGTGTGAGGGTCTCCCCACACCACAAGCAATCCTCTGACATTAGCTGGGTATCCTACGATTCAACTCAACTCCGACACTCTCTACCTGGACTTAGAGTCAGATTCCAGCTGTTGCGGGCTCAGTCCCCTAGCCCCCTGCCCCCACTTCAGATTCCAGTCACCATCCCAGGTTATCACCTGTGCTTTTGTCTCACTGGCTATAGATTGGAAGTTCTAACTACCCAATCCTTGGGTTGATTAATTTGCTAGAGTGGCTCTCCCAGATGGGCCTACATACACACCAGTTCTTGGGACTCCTTCAAGCTCAGGGCTCCTACATGAATTACCACTTGATCCAACCTGCAAAAGAGAAGGCACAGTTGTGTTAGGGGCAAAAATAAAATATTGGGGACTAACTATAGTTACAAGAAATATTAATCATGCTCCATTAACCATGATTGCCTTGTTCTGATTAAAGAAAGGACATTCTAACCTGGGAGTTGTACACCCCTGGGACTTGGGAGTCAACCTTGGACCTGCGAGTCAACCTTGGAATGTGGTCCATTCTCATTCAAGAACTGCCTAATATCTTAGATTAGCAACCTTGTTGCCCAAACAATGGAGTCCCTCTCAGCCCATATTGCCTACTTTCCCATGCCTGTAATTCATACTTCTCCATGTAATCTTTGTCCTACCCAATATAAGCAGCTGGCTTATGGGGGACTGCAGAGCAGATTTTCGGTGGATGATCTGCTGCTTTCCCATACTGCCAACAGTATTGGAATAAATGCTCATATATAGTTCAACCTTGTCTCTGTTTAATCGGTTCAAGTAGTGACAAGCAGCCTGGACCCATCGGTTGTCTGTTTTCAGTTGCATCATCTGAAGTTTATGACAACATAGAGGGGCTGCACTATTTTGGTTTGTGCGGGTTTTAGCAGTTAGCTAATAACTGATTAATTTCAATCTCATGACTATTAAATTCTTCAGTGGCCTATTTATAATTAATCTAATTCAGGACTTTAAAAAAAGAATGTCCAGACAATAAAATTTTAAGGTTCAACTGAGAAGAATTTTGAAACTAATAACTGATTAATCAATACTTGAGTACTTTTTATGACAAAGCATTGTTTTAGATGCGGTATTTGATGGTGATTGTATACATAAAGATAGGTGTAAAACTTAAATTTTCTTTCTTTTTTTTTGTGGTAGATAGAAATAAAGAGGTTCCTCAAAGAGTACAATCAGAAACCAGCCATATGAGAAATGAAGTCACTGTAAAAAGCTTTTTCCAATCTTGTAAGTCCCTAGAATTTGGCCCTAAGAGGTTTTCTCTGAGACAACACTGTTCATCTTTAGAAGTGCTCCATGTGGCCCCGGGGGAAGAGGCCACAGAGACTGGTCTTCTCAGGAGTGGAATTAACAAGATCCCACAGCTGGAGGTGTCCCAGCGAGTCTCCTGAGGGACTCTGAATGAGACAGACCCCATGCTCAAGGGATGGAGACGCTGCATTTCCATTTAGGCCCAATCACTGCGTCCTGCACTCATTCCCGAGTTGTTCTGTCTTGGGTAAAATGGGATGTGATATGATCAGGTCTGCATTGTTAAAAGACTTTTGAAAGGAGAAAAGAAGCTGACTGACCTGTTTGACTCTTACCTGTAACTTTATTGCATGACCTCCTTGTCCCTGTTAACTGGCTTAAGTTAAAACAATCATCCATTTCCTGCTCCCCTCCACCCTGGTGCTAGATGCTGCTAGAGAAAACCACTGTATGGCTTGAATATAAGCTTGTCATTTCGGATTCAGGAGACGGAGGCTCCAAAAGGCCTTCTGGTTGACCTGACTTACTTGCCTTTCCAATCAATTTCCCTGCAGTGGCTACTCCAAATCTTCACTATTCTCCTTAAGCTCTAAATTCCACCCAACTCCTTGTTCTGGGCAGATGTCTTCACTTCCTAGAAGCATGAATTTCTCCGTAGAAGAGCCAGAAGCCTAGGGGAGCCAGTCACCAGCACCTTCCCGTTTCCCCCCAAGTCCAGGGCCAGGTAACCCAAGAGGAGGGATTGGTAGATAGTTGAGAGGCAGGTTCCAGTTTCCGGGTGGGATCTCTGAGAGCCAGGCATGTCTTGAAGCCTGGCTGCCCTTCCATACAAAGAAGGGGGCCCCTCTGCCTGGGTTCCTCATCCATGTGCTAGGATCCTTGGGTCCCTGTTCATTGTCCCACAAGCTGACCTTGAGCCTGACTTGTGACTGGAAGACAGGGAGGCTGTGTCATTGAGGAAGAGCCGCTGGCGATACAGCTCTGACAGATGAGTGTTTTTATCGGGGTGGAGCCACTCACTTGTTCCTTCCTTTTGTCACCCACTCCTCTGCGACCTGGCGGCGCTCTGAGATGCTCAGAGACAGGCCTTCTCCTGTGGTGCCATTCACTGTTCCAAATAAAGAGGCAGTCAGTGGGGCCAACCAATACCTTTCACTCATCCAACATCAACAATGGGGGTGGGGAGGGAAAGGTCAGAAATCCCTGCTTAGGAGGGAGTAATAGGGAGAAACAGCAGAGGATCCACTCAGGGAGGGAAAACGCCATTTTCCATTTTCTCCTCAGACTCAGTCTTATCTTCTTCTTCACCTTGTCGAAAGCAGCAGGAAGGTGAATTCTGACTTACAATTACAAATATGTCACTGCTATCAGGAATAGAGAGCAAAGGCAAGGATAACTGCCCGTGTTTTAGGCAAATCTCCAACACACCACCCAGTTCGATATTTGGGCTTGAATGGCAGGGCAGTCAACACCCTCCAGTCCTGGGATGTCAGGTCATGACCGCTGTCTGCAGTTTGGCATGGGAGCACTCTAGGACAACTTACTTTTTAAAATATATTTTTATTGATTTCAAAGAGGAAGGGAGAGGTAGAGAGAGATAGAAACATCAATGATGAGAGAGAGTCATTGATTGGCTCCCTCCTGCACGCCGCATACTGGGGATTGAGCCTGCAACCCGGGCATGTGCCCTTGACTGGGAATCAAACTGTGACCTCCTGGTTCTTAGGTTGATGCTCAACCACTGAACCATATCAGCCGGGCTAGGACAACTTACTTTTTTATAATAATTAAAAAGAAAGCACCAGGATGTTACTATTTCCTGTAGCGAGCACTCATATATTCACTTTTCACAACAGCCCTGCCAAGTACAAATAATTCTTCCCATTTACAGATGAAAACGTGAGGCTCTGAATCACTAACTAATCCAAGTTTGAATCCAGATCTCTGTGATTCCAAAACTTTCCCTTCTAGCAAAGTCATCTCTTAATGGGTCACAGAAAGGATGCAAATAGCACAGGATCCATCACTGCGCCTAATGCATATGGCAGCATGTTGGCTCTCCAAACGCCAGCATCAGCTGGGACAGAGGAGGAGGGTGGGAGGCCAGGGGAAGTTGGGAAGTGTTTTTATCACTCTCTTGGTGTTTTGAGACACTTCAAGCATGCTCCCTAGAGCCTTCTGAAGAGGAAGAATCTGTCTTCCCCACTATGGCTTCCAGCCGGAGGGGGACCCTGAGTGGTTCTGGATTCAGGTTTTGGTTGGGACATGTGGCCTGATCACCTTTTCACAGAAGTTTAACCTACTCTGATTATGACCACGGTGCCTCCAATTTTGAAAGGGACCCTGTTGGTAGAGCAGCAGCTCGGGGCCAAGGTGTAGTGTTCTCTCCAAGGGGCTGAGGCCCAGAACACAACACAAGGGGCCGGGTAGTCACAGGTAAGTATACTAGTAGTTGTCACGCTTAAAATGTTCAAGGTCTGATTTTTCTAATTTCTACTATATGAATAAATGAGGTAACTGCTCGACCTGCAATTCCTTCATGTGCTGCAGTTAGAGTCTTTCTTACACATACAACAGGAAAGGTCTGGGTGAAGGGAGAATAAAGCCCATTCTTAAGAAAGAGAAGCCTGGGCCTAGCCAGGAGGCTCAGTTGGTTAGAGTGTCATCCCAATCCACCAATGTGGGGGTTTCAATCCCTGCAGGGCATGTACAAAAATCAACCAATGAACGCATACACAAGTGGAACAACAAACATTAATGTCTCTCTCCCTCTTTCTCCCTTTCTCTTTCTCTCTAAAATCAATCAAAAATTTTTTAAAAAGAGAGCGAAAGAGAAATCTGCGTTTTGTTATTCCTCTAGCACTTCTTGACAGAATAGACTTGGGCAACCTAAATAATATACCTGAACCATTGATTTTCTTCCAGTGGGGATAAAAACAATACTTTTTCTGTTGTGAAGGCACACCACTAAATTAGATAATCTTTTGAGGTACTTTTTAGGTCTAAAATTAATGAGTCGACAAATTCACAAATTTGACATAGCTTAGCCAGGCTCACTCATAACCTATGACACAATGACACTGTGACCTCCTGGCTACTTTCTAAGGACTGGGCTAGAGTTATGGACTGAGCTACAGTTATGTAGAGAAATCTCTAAAGATGACTTACCAAAAATATTCTTCACTCCCTGTTTTTCCACAAGATAATCCACGTACTGACCAATGACTGAAAGGTTGATTTCTCTAAAAGACACAAGAAAAAATATAGGAAAAAAATGTATATTTAGTCTTTTTTAGAATATTATTCAATCAGTCCCCAAGTCTATCACCTGCTCTCTGTTGGTAATAGTTTTTATTTGTTTTTTTAAAAAATATATTTTTATTGATTTCAGAGAGGAAGGGGGAGAGAGAGAAAGAGAGAGAGGGAGAGAGAGAGAGAGAAAGAAACATTAATGATGAGAGAGAATCATTGATCAGTTGCCTGCTGCATGCCCCCCAGTGGGGATCTAGCCTGCAACCCAGGCAGGCATGTGCCCTGACCGGGAATCAAACCATCACCTCCTGGTTCATATCGACGCTCAACCACTGAGCCATGCTAGCCAGGCTGTTGTTAATAGTTTTTAAAATCCACCTAGTCAATTGTGAAATTCCTAGCCTCCTCTGAATAATTCCTATTTTCTTGTTTTGTTTTCTTCTGTCTGGTGGTTTCTCTGCTCAGCCACATGTTCCTCACTTATGTGAGCAAAACACTATTAATCAACGAAGACTTTACATTTAATTATTAAAAAATCATCTTGAAAAAATAATATTCAAAAAGAAGTTACCGAATCATCTTTTGTTCTTTTTGGGAAGAGTGACGTTTGGGAGCATGGTTAAATGAGAACATTTTCTACTTGGTGAGAAGCAATCATTTCTTAGGCTTATTAAATAGGAAAATTCAATCTTACTAAATTTAAGAATTTTAGCACTTAATAGTTGTGACAACAAATGAAAGCATAACTCCATATGTATTTGCTAGTTTTAAGTCGAAGAGGATTACCAGTTGGAAAGGAACTTTGCCTCTCAAAGTGCGGTCAGTGGAACAGCAGCCAGCACCTGAGGGAGTTTTAGAAATGCAGAGTCCCAGGCCCCACACAGCCCTACCCAGTCAGAATCTGTATTGTAACAAGATCCCACGTCATCTGCATGTGCTCTGTAGCGTACTGAACTTATAAGCATCTGATGCTTAGGGCAATAAGAGCTCTTCTCCTCAAAATCATATTGACTGTGAAATCTACAAACTGACTCAAACACAAGCCATATAAAACCACTTGTTCTCAATCATAATAGAGGTGGGGTGGATGATGGCAGGAGAGTGAAAATACAAAGGAGAAGTGTGGGGCAAGTCTGTGTTAAATGTTGTGAAAATGTGAATAAGGTTAAAATTAACTTAGGATTCTCTGGCCCCACTGACAAAAATGCAAATGGCAGCCAACTAGTACTTTGTGTTCAAAACAAAAAAAAAATCTGATGCATAGAGAAAACAGACATCAAAGGGTATTGTCAAATGGAATGGGAACCAGAGAGACCAAAACAAGGAATTCACAGACAATCACTGCCCACAACATGCAAATGACAGCCAGCCCACTGCTTGCCCTTGGGAGCAGGTATGCCTCCAAGGGGAGCAGATTCCCTCCATAATGGCTAATGTACAGGTATCACTACCTTAACCCTCCCTGCCCACTTGCTTAAATGCCAAATCCTGGCCTCTCAGATTTACTAAGCAGGGAGGCTCCCTGAATGCATGACAGGGATGAATTTAGGTTGCTCTTACTGAAAGATAAGATGGGTGTGTTATCTGCCTAGACCAGTGGTTCTCAACCTTCTGGCCCTTTAAATACAGTTCCTCATGTTGTGACCCAACCATAAAATTATTTTCTTTGCTACTTCATAACTGTAATGTTGCTACTGTTATGAATCATAATGTAAATATCTGATATGCAGGATGGTCTTAGGCGACCCCTGTGAAAGGGTCGTTCGACTGCCAAAGGGGTCGCGACCCACAGGTTGAGAACCACCGGCCTAGACAGTCCATCTCAGGACCCTCATTTACTAGTAGGTCAACCTGACCTGCTAAACTTCTTGAAATTTCTCTGCGCCTTGGGCATTTCTGACCACTTAGAACCGTATCTTTACAATATCCCAGCTCCTTGCTGCTTCCATCAGCTCTTCCCCACTTGGGATAAGCTCTGAGACACAGGAGCAATCAGTAGGGGCTTTGTGTGACACGAACTCTGGTTTTGACCAGTGATGTCCATCTACTCATGCAAACAGCCACAGAACAGCTCCTGCAGAGCCAGAGGACTTCTGAATCACAGAGCAAAAACTGGGAAGAACCTGGCGGGGTGACAGCCTATGTTGGAGTTACAGGTTCAAATACAGTGGCTCCTGTACCCATTCACCGAACTGTTACCACCTCCCCAGTCCCACCACTAACTCAAGGACTCTGACAGAGGCACTGTGATTTTCACCAAGGAGAAGCTAGAGCTCTGGTCCAGGCCTGGTAGGCACTGTGCATTCTTCCGCTTTCATCTAATACCTTCTCATTTGGGAAGGGGAGCTGGAAAGCTTGTTTACATTCTCAGAAATCCTTACAGAGAGAAACTGACTTACTCCATCTGTTAGTGTGCATGTGTGTCTCCCCAAAGTGGACTCTTAAACTCAGCAGAGACCTCCACCTCCACAGGGGCCTTGAACGGCCAGGCCAGCACAAATGCTTGGCACTGTTTCAGGCTCCAATGAAATGCTCAAGCATTACTGCTGTTACTGCTCCGCAGTGACGAAAACCAGAAATACCTCACACCCTCAGCCAAGTCCACAGTCTCCTTTATTATAAACATCAATTATTTATGCTGCAGCAAGAACTTCCTGACGGTGCCTTTTATACCTTGCAACCCCTGGTCTGCACCAGGCACAGCATAGATGCTCAACATCTATACTTGTCTCCCACCACCTCCCCCACTTTTTTAGGCCTGGATGATTGACAGGCTACAGCAATTTCACTCAGGTTAGGGCTGCCAATGGGTGACAGATGATCTAACCCTCCCAGAAAGTTTGCTGCTGCTTATAAAATGCTTCTCGCCTACAGGAATGATACTAATGGTGGGATGTGGGGCAGTGGCAGAGTGACCCAACATGTTCTGAAACTTATAGCCTTTTGGAACTGTTAAATCCTCTTAAAGAGGTCAGAGGTTGAAAAGGGATGGCCCCCAAATGTGTTTTGTTGACTTTCACTATGTTAAAAGAAAAATGATTTTATTTGAAAAGTCAGAAGATCTAACAAGGCCAGGCCTACATTTCCATACAGCACCAATGGCTGGGGAGCGCAGTGGCTGCCCCCATGGAGGCACAGAAGCCCCCGTTCACCGCAGGGAATTCAGGTCCCTGTCTGACTGCAGATGCAAGGCTGAGGTCCTTGGCAGGATGCTGTGACCCCAGTTACAAGAGAGCCCAGTGAAATCACCTCGAGCTGTTACCGTATTTGTCACAAGGGCACCCAAATAGCAGGGCTCGGGAGGTAACAGGATGATAATTCTCTCTGGGGACTTTACTCCCTTCCCTGCTTTCCCACCTACTCTACCTCCCCTCGGTATCTGGGTTCATGTCCATTGCTGCAGGCACTCCGTCAGTTACCAAGAAGTCACTAGAGAGAAGGAAACAGTGAGAATGAATTATTCTTCTCCTCACTAGCTGTTTGGGGCTTGGTGCTCATGGAGGTGAGAGGGGCACCAGCCAGGTCACTTGAAAAAGCTGGACCGGCTTTTTACTGCACCTTCTCTTCCTCCGGGAGCCCCAAGAACACAGCTCACCAGTAGTCTCGGGGGAGACTGGCCTGAACCAACCCCATGCTTCCTGGAGTCATTCTCAGTCTTAACTCCAATTTAATATCTTAATTTCCGTTCCCATGGGTTCAGATTCTTTGCCTTAGGTCCATGATTGTATTTTAAATAAAAGTAACTTTTTTTTCTTATTACAGAAGCCATATCTTATATTTTAGAAAGTACACACAATAAGAAAGGAAAAAATAAACCACTCAGGATCCTCCTGGAGATGATTACTCTTATTAGTTGGATAGTTTTCTGTTCACAAATACACAATATAGTATTTTTCTTAAGTAAATATAGGCATATTATACAGTATTGTAATATTTTTTCACAGCATTTCTAAATTGACTATTTCCCCACCTCTTCAGATATTCTGTTACTATACTGGCTACACAGCATCTCATTGTATAAATAGACATAATTAATTTAGCTAATGCTCTATTCTTAGACATTTCATTTACTTACAAACTCTATAAGAAGAGAGATCTTTAATCACGTTATTTCTAACCATAAATCGAGGCCCTGAGTGGTGAACTAGGAAACCACACGTAGACTATACCGATCTCTTCTCTTACAGTATAAGGATAATGGAGTTTTCTGAAGTGTCTTTTCAGAGAAAAATCCCTATTACTGTGTATTTCTTCTCCTGGCACACAATACACAGGAAAGACTCTGTGTATACAGAATCAAGAGGACAGGCAGGCTCTTTTCACAATGGGCATGATCTGGCGTGCACATTGGGGAATCTGACATTCCAAGTTTTTTGCCTTCCCCTACATTTTTCAGCCTTTGAAATCAAAGGAAGTTATGTGTGCTTTTGGCAAAGTAACTACTTGATTACTTTGAAGCTCCTTCAGCAGAGACTTGGGCAGGGATTATGTCAGCCCCATCGTGCCAGGGCATGTTCTGGGAATATGGGTCACAGTTTCCCGAACACAGGTAAAAAGACAGTAATCTGTACAACTCCAATGCCAGCAGGCCAGGCCCTTTCTGACTGGGGTAATGGGTTTTGTTTTACTAGAGAATGTGGTGAAGATTTCCATGGTGAAGTCAAGGGCATTCGAGGGAGAAAACACAACTTTTTTTTCTTGACATTGTAACCAAGCTGAAATGGACTCTCTGTTCTAATGACTGTGCTTGCCTGAAGGAAAAAGTGACTTATTGAAACAACGAAGGAAAGCAAAAGTCTTTTACTCCCGTGTAGAAACAGACAGGGGTTGGACTGGGTAGAGACTTCCCTCTCCGGCTATGTGGCTGGGGGCAAGGTCTTTGGGATCTTGGTTTCATTCAGTGTAAAAATAGGGATGGTAGCTGTCACAGACTTATTGTGAAGATTAAATTGGAACATGTACACTGAAATACCCAGCATGATGGACACATGGTGTTTAGCCAATCAGTGTTAGCTTCCTTCCCTCTGTTTGCTTGACCATCAGCATTAATCATCCCTGTATTATATTCACTCATGAAAGACCAAAATTCACCACACACTGTGCTAGATGCTGAAGATTCCAAGATAAATAAGATACATGCTCCATCCTTGTGTACTGCCTGGTACTTGAGAAATGTCTATTGAATACGGTGAAGTCACTCAGAGCCTCCTGGAAGAGACGGGCATGTGACAAACAGCTTACTGTAACACTTACTATAAACAAGTAATTCTGATGGAAAATGGTGTACACATGGTGCAGGGGAGGGATCCTCTTACTCTTTTTAGGGAAAATGGGAAAGAATCACCAAAGGATGGTTTTGACCATCCTTTGGTGATGGAAAGAAGTGTTCAAGTGGAGCAGAGAAAGGAGAGGATGCGGTAGAAACAGGCAGAGGGAACAGAATGTGGAAAGGCACAGAGGAAGGGAGGGTATGAAGTGTTTGGGGGAAATGGAAGTGTAGCAGGATGGTTAGACTGTTCAGGACTTCCTCTGTCATCCCAGAGGGTCTAGGCTTTCACCTTTCACCCAGCTCATTCAGATCCTATGCAGTAGGATCTGAAATTCTGCATTTCTAGCAAGTTCCTAAGTGATGTTAGAGAAAATGGTCCACGGATCATAAAATGAGTTGCAAGGCTTAGATTCAACAGAGATTCTTAAAGAGGAGAGTGACGTGATTGCATTGGTTTACGAGGAAGCTCACTGGGCTATAGTGTGGAGGAGAAACCGGAGTTGCAGGTATTTTATTCATTCTTATTAGTGGGGATCACCAAGATATCCCCAATGACATAGCATTGGAGGACTGCAGACTCCCTGAATTAGAATGGCCTTTCGAGATAATGTGGTTGGACTTCCTCTCTTTACAGAATATGAAAGGGAACTTTTAAAAGGTGACAGGACGGCCCCAGGGTCAGACAGCTAGCTGGTGGCAAAGCTGGAGGTTAACAACTCAGACAATCCATTTAACATGTTCTTTTTGCCAATTTCCCCAGTTAAAGACATCAAATTATATTCAGAGAGTTGATTAGAATCATGAAGAAAAAGGAGACAGGGGAATAAATAGTTCTTGTTCAGCCAAGAATCATGGAGGCCATCATATACAGTATGAGCCAGAATAAGAACCCCACAATGGCAGGTCACGAGGCAGAATGTTCAGTGTGAGATTCCATGTGACCCTTCTTTTTGTCCTATCTCTTAGAAACATGTCAGGAGTGCAGATTCCCTTGTGGGCAAGTAAGTTAAAAGCTGCTGCTCCTCGTGGGTGCTCCAAACCTGTTTTGTATGTATGGGAATGTTTGGATGGAGCAGCTGGTGGGAGAAAAGGGAACCAACACAGCTTATGTGCCTACTATGCCCTATTTATATTTTATTTTCTAAATGTGTTTTTATTGATTTCAAAGAGAGGAAGAGAGAGATTGAGAGGGAAAGAAACATCAATGATGAGAGGGAATCATCAATTGGCTGCCTCCTACCTGCCCCGCACTGGGGATTGAGGCCGCAACCTGGACATCTACCTTGACCTGGGATGGGACTGTGACCTCCTGGCTCAACCACTGATCCACACTGGCCGGGCTGCTATATACATTTTTAATGTACTAATTTAATTCTTACAAGTTTCTTACAAAAAATACATTCTTATTTTGATTTGAATTGATGAAAAAAGAGGAAACAGTGAAGTGGAGGCAGGTGGGCCAGAAGTATTTGAGAAACGGAGAAGGAACCAGCAGAGCAAAGTTATGTTAGTAATCTCCTATACATGCGGCCACAGGAAAACAGCAGAATAGGGAGGAAGAACACACTGACACTCTCAATGGGTCCCAGATGAATAAATGAGACTGTTTTAAAAGCCACTTCTAGGCTAACAGGGGTCTGATTGAAAAGATTAAAGTAGCATAGACCAGATGTAGTGTTTTGAGTTTGCAAACAGGAAATAAATTCTGCCTGCTCATGCAATCACATGTCCTCTGTTTTATCTGTCCAGCAAGTGGCTGACACAACGAGAAGGAGCTGACTTCAGTCTTTTTTAGAACTTGTGGAAACAGAGAAGCAACAGGAAAAAAAATAATGCTACTAACCATTGAGTAATCTAAATGGCATCTCAGCAAGAGTTTTATTTAGAACTAGCAAAGATGTGAATTTTCGTGAATCCTAGAAGCTGGAATTCTTGAATTCACAATGATCTAAAAGGAAAACTGTAATATGGCCAACTTTGATAACAATAAAAGTTAAAGAAATTTCATCTACTTTAAAGGGGTAGGGTTAATGTTTACAAATTCAGCAACAGAAGACCAAAAATAAGAGCCTTATTTAAAGATATCTTAAATTCTTCATCTTCCTTTTACCCCCGGTCTTATGCCACAAAAGCAGTTCAAACTTATGGATCTAAGTGCATACTGATCCTAAGCTAAGCACTATTCTATGGGTAATCTCACTCAGCACACATAACTCCATGATCATTTATATCTTGTAGAGGAAGAAAGAAGAAGCTTAAAGAAACCAGAATTCTGATGGTTTTGGCAGACTGACTTCTCTAAAATGTCAAAAACATTTAGATGCAAGAGGTAGATGAATCTCCTTTTCCTAAGTGGCAACGTCCCAGGGAGAAGTTATATTTCACATATGGACATGTACGGCACATGACTATTATCTGACAGTCTAAGCAAAACAGTATGGATGGCCATATTATTCATGTGGAAGTCAAAATACTTGTTTGGCCAATGATTTCTCAGCAATCATCTGTTGCTACCTCTCACTCCTGCAGGCTCCCCAACATGTAACCGATGTTGAAATGAGACTGCAAACATGCGTAAGGGGTCCCTCTTACAGCTACCTTCTCCACTTTCATCCTGTCTATGAACAGCCTGAGGTGGAATCATGCAGATGTCTAGAGACAGGATCTAGAGGAGCCAGGTCAGGGTTTGAGGTCAAATCCTGCTAAAATGAAAGTCTCATCCAATTCCACTGGCCTTCTTTGGGAAGCCCAAAGCTGTGATAAAATCCAAGGAGAATTTGCATTGTGGAGCTACAGACCCTGGGAGAAAGGAGAGCTGCTATATCTTTTCTCTCTTCCTGCACTGTTTGAGATATAGAGACCTCGTCTCTGACTTGGGACCAGAGACAATGGTACCACAGAAGTGCACAGATTAAGTGACTGTTACACAGAGAACATCAGTCCATTTTGGTGGAGAACAGACCCCTTTAAGGTCCCAAATAGTAGTTACCCATGCTCGGTCATCGGCGTGATGGTTGCAGCAACCAGACCTTGAAGGTTCTTCTTCTGGGAGGCCATTGAGCTGCAGAAAAAAAAGAACAACAGAATTACTCTCTTCTTCAAGGAATGTCAATTAATGATAAAACTCCTGGGCAAAGTCCATTCACCATTTAGAACTGTGAAAAAATGCTTACAAGTACACAAACACAGCAAGCAAGTTTGAGAATGTAAGAATTTCAGGGCTTAATTCGAAAGGAGAGGAAACTATTTTTTTAAAGTCAGGAGAACAGTGGCCTGGCAACATACCATTGAAAAGGCCTCCAACTTTATCTAGATCAGCGGTTGCCAACCTTTCAGACCTCACGGACCACTGGTTGGCGACCACTGATCTAGATGATTGAGAAAATGTCAAACCTCAAAGAGCAGGGGTAAAAAACAAGAGATCAAAGAAAGAACATGCTCCTAACTCAGGGAGCTCAAATATATAAAGAATTACTATTATTTAAGTTGGAATATTGTCAGGAGAACAGGGACATTCCTATCTCTTTCTGTATCTTCATTCTGTTAAGCAAGAATCAGCTCTTACAGTTTGAAGGCTTCAGTGTAATCTCTGTAGCTCATCTTCCTTTCAGATTCTAATCTTGACCATTTTGTCCTGTTTTCCTAGTTCTAGTAAACCACATCACAAGTATTTATTCATCTCTCCCCCTCTAGACCCCGCTCCCCAGGACAAGGAATACATTTCATTTGCTTTGCTTTTCCTTCACTGAGTGTTCTGCAGACACCTGTGTCCAGTGAAAAATTGATGATTTTCTGGTTGATTGAATGAAGTGTTCAGGTTGTAGCTGAATGATGACTTCCAAGAGTGCCAGACACATAGTAAGTACAAGTTCAGCCTCCTCCATGAAGTCTTGTCTGATGGCTATAGGACATTAGCAAGTACTATCATTATTCCCTTACCAGCTCTTTCCTGTCATCCCAGCTGTACTGGTACCTCCTCCCCAGCCCTAGCTACTCTTGCCAATTCAGGGGCTAAGTCATTTCAATTCTGTTATCGTCTTTCCTGCATTCCTTCCCTCTCCCCTTACTGCCCCTCTCATAACTTACCCTTTGTTACCTCTTATCTACACCAATGGGCGCAACCCAGGTCCAAGAGGCCCACGGGGCTCAAGAAAGTTCAAGTGATAAGCGTACCGAGAGCTGGGTTCAGCACGGAAAGTCTAAATCAAACAGCACTAGGCTGTTCACACTACACTTCCATGTTCTTGGGCTTTGGGCTGCATTTATTTCATGCTTAGGGTCAGATACTCTTATGATGGTCAGAAGCTCAGACTGGCAACATACACACACACACACACACACACACACAAATGATGGGTTAAAACTTTCAAAGCATGCGGGAATGAGATGAGAGTTGGGAACCACTGTCTTAACCCCCATCTCTTTATCTTCTTTCAGTCCACACAGGCTGCCAGATTAATCTCCCAGTAGCATGGCCATTTCTGACCTGGCCTTTGCCAATAACGTTCCACCCTGGCTTTCATGAAATAAATACTAAACTCCCTGGCCCGGGTCTCTGTAGCAATCTCTTTATGCCTGCAAGTACTCGCTAGCCCAGATGGTTCCTGTTGCTACCTACCTTCACTCGTCTGGCTGCTTGCCTTTCTCCCCTGGTTCTCCTACCCGGAATGCCATTATCTCCCATTTCAGCCCCTTCAGCCTAGTCAACTTTTTAAAAGCTAGGGAACATTCCCTGATTCCTCCAAGATGAAAATAATTTCGTACCCCTTAGAATTTCCCCCAAACACTGGCTTTTTATTAAAAGCCTTATGTCAGAGTTACTAGCAGGGTAGTTTGGGCTTCTCTTCTAAACTGTAAGCCATCTGGGAGCAGGAATGGCTTAAAACATTTATCTTTGTACAGAGCAACATGCTAAATAAATGAGCAAAGTTTGCTGACTTTGTGAACTGTGGAACTCCTACAGGAAGGGATGGGGTTGTGGATAAAAAGGGGCCACGTGCTAACCTGACTAGCTCGGGGTGGCCTTGCAAAATCAGAAACCTAAAGTTGGTCTGAAATTAAAACTTTTTAAAAGCAGTTAGTTTATGGTGGGTAGTCATGTCATAGGCAGGTATCTTCCCTGACAAAGGTCAATCTTTACTTTAATTTGGCCTACTGTCTTTTTGCATCTATGATAGCCTATCACTGGAATGTCGAAGTAATTTTCCTTTTTCCAGACCCCTCAAACCACAGATAATGCTCTTGGGAGACCACAGATCCCCATATGTTATTGTTAATTGTTGACTGTTAACCACCTAAATAAAAGAAGTTTGTGTCTATCACTGTACTTTTTATCCAATCCCAGAGGTCTCCCCACTTTGCTTTCTCCCACCTCCCTAATCTATCACCAATGGATTCCATGTAACCCACTTATGTCTCCTCTTTTGATTGTAACGTATAAAACAAAGTGCAAAACTGCCATTCTCCAGAGCATTATCTCAATCCGTTGAGATTCTGCTTCCTGGCAATTGTCAACAGTTTGGCTCAAATAAACTCACAAATAGTCTTCACAGGTTTGAATGTTTCTTACCTTAATAGGTAAAAGATCACAGCAGCTGTAACTAGAGAAGCATGGAAATTTTGTCAATTTGAGTTTTAAATAAACTTGGTAAGGTTATGCTTTGAAATTCTTTATAGCTTGTATCCAACGCAAATGGTTAGAATGTTCACCGGCTTAAAGTTTAATGTGAATTTAGAATATTATGACTCAAAACACTATCCACAGACAAGAATTCTTAGCTCAAATAATTCAGGTGACCTTAGTCAAATTCTCTGAAGAGGGCAAAGTTTTAAAAAAAGGGAATGAAGGAAGGAAGGGGGAGAGGGAAAGAAAGAAAAACAGCGAAAGAGAGGAAGAAAGAAAAAAAGAAAGAAAGGGCAACTCTGGGTAAGAAGAATGACTTGACAGAGAAATACTTGGAGAGGAAGAAACAGAAATAGAGAAAACAAAACTAAAACCAAAACACAGAAATACGACCAACTTAAGGAAGGGAGAAAGAAAGAAAGAAAGAAAGAGAGAGAGAGAGAGAGAGAGAGAGAGAGAGAGAGAGAGAAAGAAAGAAAGAAAGAAAGAAAGAAAGAAAGAAAGAAAGAAAGAAAGAAAGAAAGAAAGAAAGAAAGAAAGAAAGAAAGAAAGGGAAAGATGGAAGGAAGGAAGGAAGGAAGGAAGGAAGGAAGGAAGGAAGGAAGGAAGGAAGGAAGGAAGGAAGGAAGGAAGGAAGGAAGACACTTGGCATAAAGCACAAACAGGCAACTCAGTTTTTCTGTGTGCCCCACCTGGTGGGGGTTTAAGGATTTTAGACTTTTTCCTTCTATAGGTGTCAAGGTCAAGGTTCCCCTTTTATACTGTTGTGACTTTTTTTTTCCTAGAATTTATGAGAATATCTGGCTGGTTTTTTTTTTTCTCCTTCTCCTCATTCTGGCAATGAGCTATCCATCTTGCCTAACATCCCACTCCCCCACCCCCACTCTTAAATGATATCATATAAACGCTTTTGGTTTTTTGCTAATTGCCTCCAGACTTCATCTCTCCCTGGGTTTAGTTGTCACAAATGACATTAATTGATTTTATTTTCCCAGGCCAGGGAATAAGAAAAAGAGAGAATCAGAAATGTCTGCCCTTCTCTACAGGGTTTGGTGTCATCTCATAAGTTTGTGGTCAGGTCCCCCTAAGGCCATCCTCTATCTTCCACTGGTGAAGGTAGCTTCTGGATTCCCAAACATCACCTTCTCCTTTTATTTAATAGCATCTTAGAGTAGTCAATAAACTTGGGTTGCCTTACATGCCCCAAGGCTGCTCTTTTGATTTTTGCTTTCATAGCCACGCCCTGACTGATAGAACAGATCTGCAAAGACCAAAACAAGGAAGAAAATCAGTAAGTGAGAGAGGAATCTTTAAGAAAGTATTCTTGGGGAAAGTGCAGAGAAACCATAACGTCTAGTTTTTCAAAAGAAGACCTTTTCTTTTTCTACACTCCCAATGTGCTATATTGTTGTTTTACTATACTCTATCCTGCTTTCTTCCTGGTGGTCTTTTCTCCAGACTACTCTAAAAACCATTTACCCTG